GGGGAGGGGAAGCAGAGGGAGGACCCCACAGGCAGATGCTCCCACCCCAGCAGGCCCTTCCCCTCCAGACTCTCCTGGTTCCAAGCAAACACTCCCACCCACAGTGGACCCTCCCCACACTCTCCCTGCCAAGGCAGACACTTCCCCCACCCAGGCGGAAGTTCCCCACCTGTAGACTGTCCCACCCCCAGGTGACGCGTCCTCCTCTCCCTCTGCAGACACTGGCAGGCAGGTTTGTGGGTTCACGTTTATTGAACTGGCTGCGGCCCAGGGGCTGCAGGGGGACGGGGCCATGCCCCTCACTCCTCCTTCTCCTCCCCGTGGGTGAGCACGTAGCTCAGTGCCTTGTAGTCCAGGTTGCCTGCAGCATCGATGGTGGCAAACTGGAACATCTGGTTAACCTGCGAGCCCGGGTGGTGTGGGGGCGGGTCAGGCCCAGGGAGGAGGCGAAGGAGCAAAATGGTCCGCTGAATTACAGGCAACTCACTCCAGCCAGCTCCCAGTGTTGTTTTTGCTTGTGGGGAGCCAGGGGTGGGACCAGGGCCCAGCCACTGGGTGTCCTGCCCACCCTGATGGTGCGGCTTCTGGAGGCCCAGGGAGTATCCCCCCTGGAGCCCAGAGGGCCACACTGGAGCTGCACGGAGGGCCGTGGGGGAGGGGGTGGGGCGGGGGCGGAGTGGACCGTTACCTCTTCAGCGGTCATCTTGTCTGCCTGAGACATCAACAGCCGCTTGATGCTGAGGACAAGGAGGGAGAAGCCAAATTAGGCTGCTCTGAAGAAAGGGACCATCACCAGAAGAACCGGAGGGGTGGCCCCAGGGGAGCCGGTGACTTGGCTCTTCTGTGTGGGATGCCTCAAGGGGGGGACGCTCACCCTCTAGTCCCACCCACTCACGGTGCAGGTGTCTTTTGGAAGCCTGGCTCTAGGGGGAGTCCTAGGCACCGGGGAGTGGTCACTGGGAGTCCTTCCTGACACTCAGGGGTCACTACCCCTTGTGGGGGGCTCCACCTGCAGGGAGGAGACTGAGGAGGGATTAGAGGCGAGTGCCTGGCACACCAAATGTGCCCACTCCCAGTGCTTGGCTGATGTAGCCCTCAAAGGGGGTTGAAGACCCAGTGATCGTACAAGTGGCATGACCAGCTGGGTTACTGGGTGCCCCGGCCTTGGTGTGGGTAGGACTGGTTTTGCCCTCAGTTACCCTGAGGGACTTGGGACCTTGGGGCAGGCAGCCCAACACCTGGACCCTGGGGCGGGGTG